CAGTTACGGCTCGTTAGCTCTAGCATTCTGCTAGCATAATAGTATAGGCTGGTGAGGTGTAGTGGTTAAAGTCCAGGGCTGGTCAACCCCAGGCTGCTCCAGGAGAACTTGAATATAATACATTTCTGTACACATGGCCCTCATAAAAGCAAAAGAACTAATTAGTAAATCTTCTGCCTTTGTACATGTAGCATTAATAGGCTTGCCATTATTGACTTATAGCACCTCCCAGACCTACGACAACCTCCTCTAACACATCTCTGCTGATGTCATTTTTATAATTTGAAAGTCCTTCACTGAAATTTAATTCAGTGATACATTCAGCAAGCATTAAACCCCACCTTAGACTTTCACAAATCATAAACATTTCTCTCACTGACATGCACATATTCAAAGTTTATGGCATTTGTCAAGTAATTGATTGGGTATTGCTTGATTATCGTCTAAGCAAGGACAAAGACCTTACTTGCAGGGACGATGAACTCCTTATACAGCTCGTATGTCATTAGTGGCTCTGGAAGACTCCTTGAGAGAGAGAGGGAGAGATTTATCGGCTTTATTGGGCATTATTATATACACAACACTATGATTAATGTGGCTGATCACTGCAAGAAATTAGATGAGCACACAAACACACACATACACTGTGATAACCAAGTTCATCTGAAGGTACTTTCGCTCAGTTTTTGGCACATGTCCCAGCACTGTTAGCCCAAAATGAGCCCAGCACACCAATATCATTCATACTTGTAGAGGAGTACAAGCTCAAAACACACATACACTCTGCTGCTGCGTTACAAAACTGTCTTGTCCTATTCTATTGTGACACATCAATTACAGAAATTAATTAAATGCAGTATTAATTAAATGTTGAATAAAACGGCATACAATTATATTTTGCCACTGAAAAGAAAGTCCCACTGTGAATCTGACAAATCATTAAAAAACGGACATATTTCACATGAACTCATTTATCCTTGATACTATTATTTGAGATTCAATTCAATTCATAAATTTAGAGGCCCATACATTTCTTTCTGAGGGTTCCCACATGAATTTAGTTTTACACCGGAGTTTCTTTTGAAAGAAGCAAATGGGTTAAGGATGAAGGGGCATGATGTATTCTGTCAAATTACAATCAGTACATTTAGTGAAAGGACCATTTACACACACACACACACACACACACACGCACACGCACACGCACACGCACACGCACACACACACACAAAAACTATGCTGTTTATTAGAAACAGAATGCAGAAAGTTTAAACTCACCTCAGGTAAAGTTTTAAAGCACTGGTGATGGTTTTGACATCCCAGTCCTCACTGGCTGCTAAATCTATTCCACTGCTCTTCTCATCTACCGATCACAAAACAATAAAGAATTCAAGTTCAAATGATCTTTAAAAACTATAGCAAAAACTATAACTGTGGTATAAATAATGCCACAGTTGTATGTTGGTCACAATTTTTTTGCATTAATATTAGAAATGTTTTAAGTCTTAAATTGTAATAATAAACACTGCTGTTCAAAAGTTTTGGGCCAGTCATTTTTTTTTCCAAAGACATCTCTTATGCTCAATAAGGCTGCGTTTATTTAATCAAAATACAGTAAAAACTGTAATATTGTGAAATATTGTTAAAATTGAATTGAACTGTTTTCTATCTGAATTTATTAACATGTAATCTTGCTGAACCCAAACGTTTAAATGGTAGTGTATTTTGAAATGTCTGGGACAACAGAAAAATGGTACAATCAAAAAAGCACAAAACGTATTTGAAAGGTGCATAAATAAAAGATAAACTCATGGTAAAACTTTTCTAAGATAGTTATAATGTTGCCTTATTAGGGACCTGATTAGGACTTGATCAGTATAGATCCAAGACCAATGAGAAAGACATAAAGAAAGTAAGATGGGTAAAAAGGTCTGAGGCCAGGGAGTGGACGATATGAAGGGCAGACATCATTTTGTTGTACCACTGCTCACGTAAATCTAGATCTGTAAATACGTTCCTGATGGACAAAGAGTCATTAACACATTGACACTTTTGAAGAATTCAACCGAAGCACTGACAATCACCTCTCTGTCTGGCTAGCTGTAACCATGGTAATGTCTGAGTGAGTTTTTATAGAACACAGCAGACAATCAGAAAAGTCTAAGGTCACATATGTACAAAATGTTAGCCATTTAAGTCAATTCAAAGTCAAAACGAAAAACAAAGGCAGTCTGAACCGTTTTGTGCCATTTTCATGCAAAGGCATGAAAATATTCCCTGTCTTAAATCTGAAGTCCAATTGTATTCAGCCACGTTACTGAATTCAGCCTGCTCTGACCTGTTTTAAACTCCCTGACAAACATGCCTATAATGACGATGGGATGCCACTATTTAATACTCCACTGAGAAACTGAAGTGTGTTTACATATTATAATGAGAGTCCAATGTTGACGACATAAACAGCAGAGAAACTAACATTTAATCTTTCACTGTTCTGCTTTCTTTTAAAACACTGATGTTCATTACCCTCAGCTCAACCCTCAGACAGCTGGGAATACACATGTACACACACTACTGTTAAAAAGGTTGGAATCTGTACACATGTACGTTTGTAATGTTTTTGAAAGAAGTCTTGCAGAAGTCTACCTTTATTTGATCAAAAATACAGTAAAAACAGCAATGCAGTGAAACACTACAATTTAAAATAACTGCTACCTATTTGAATATATTTTAAAATATAATTTATTCCTGTGATGGCAAAGCTGAATTTTCATCAGCCATTACTACAGTCTTCAGAGTCACAAGATCCTTCAGAAATCATTCTAATATGCTGATTTGATGCACAATAAATATTTCTTCTTATTAATGTAATTAATATTTTTTGGAAACTTTCTTTTATGAATTGGGGGTTAAAAAAAACAGTATTTATTTTTCTATAATGTCCATCGTTAATATGGGCTGTTAAATGTGTTAAAAATTAAAACAAATATAGCAGCATTTTTTCCCCTCCTCAAGTTCCTGAGGCCAAGCTAATACTTTTTTTACTTAACTTTCTCTGTCTAAAGTTACATTCTATATTCATGCTACTGGCACGAATATAGAATGAATATAGAGTGGTTAGACCACTCTAAATAAAGGCAAAATGAAATGTGACACTTATTATATAATGGCTCTGTGTGATTATTTTGTTTAAATGAGAAATTATTATAAGCCTGATCATGTTCCGCAAATGTTGTTAATACATGCCAACAATCGCATGGCCTCTCATGACTTATTGCTTAATTAAAATGACATGCCAACTACCTGAGTCCTCAACCTGTGTCCCTGTGAACACAATAGATCCTCAAGTGTTGTGAGCACATCACAGCACCAATACAGACATCTTATTAGCACCCTGTGGTTTCATCTTAACACTCAATTTGCATTCTACTGACATCTCAATACAACATAATGTATGCTCATCCTCCTGAGTCACTTTGGTGAGAAAAAGTCTGTCAAGAAAACAAACACAGCTTTTAATTTAGCACTATGATTATATCGCCGTGGCACTGACTTATCTGGAAATGAACGTATGGAATTTTGTTTGGTCATTCCACTCTGATCTGATCTTACAATTCTTTACATAATAACTGTATAGACTTTTAAAAAAAGAAGAATGAGTGCTCTGAATTTGAAAATGAAATGGATAGTTGGTTGTGCTCTGGATATTTGGCAGGTTTCAAGTTCATGAGCCAACTACAAGGACTTAGGCTGTTCTCAGATGAGGACAGTGGATCCGTAAAGAGTGTTAATGGCTATTAGACTCTAGAGTGGCTGAGTTCATGTAGCAGCAGGGGCTCAGGCAGCCTGCCGACTCGACACAGCGTTTAGCATTCAGAGCAGAGAGATACCAGCTCATGATACGACTGCAGGAGAGCGAGCGAAATCGAGAGCGAAAGAAAGAAAGAAAGTATGGGACAAGATAACAATAGAGTATGAGATGGTGATCAGTGTGTGTTGTGTTTTCGGGAGAGGCGAAATAGGATCAAGGAAAAGTGAGAGAGATGGAAAGTGTCCGGAAATCTGATTGCCTGCCTGCAGTAATGGAGTCAGGTGTCACCTAAAGGACAGGACAAAGGGACTACCAGACAGACACCAGACAAGATGAATGTCTGAATGCCAATGAGACTCAACAGGACACCGGCTCTACAAACAATTATAGGGCTTCAAAGTAAATCACCTAAATCTGAGAAACAATTAGAGCAATCAAATAAGGCTGAACTTACCAATCATTAAACTGAGAAGCTTCTGTACTTTTGAACTGACCCCGACAACTCTGTACAGACCTTGATCATTAATACCTGTGAAAATAAAAACACATTTTGTAATAGCAGTTAGGTACTCTATTCACATCCCAGCTGATCTGGGCAACTAAACACGAGCACACTAAGCTTCTCGTGTATTATCCTGAACAAAGCACAACAGGTTGTTGGTGTGGCCTGAGAAAAACTGCTAGATCATTCTGCCCTCTAGTGTTCAGAAGGTGTTACTACAGATGGACTTTTTTTTTTTTGACACACAATAAAAATCCTGCCTGAAACATTTTGCATTCCTTTATTTTGTATATTAAAACATGTAGAGGTACCTCTGGTTTCAATGGCATTTATTGCATTTTTCACAAAGCTTATTCCCACGTCATCCAACTGGGCATCAACTATGGAAATACACAAATATCATAAATATCATCACAATTTATGTACCAGCAATAAATACAAACATACAAGTAATAACATTTTTGTGAATAGGCACTACAACTGAAGGCAAACTTGAAGTGCTGATATTAATTTGAGTTTCCTCACTTCCTCTTTCTCGTGAATGTGTCCGGTTGAGATACTGCATCTGTGTGTGAGAGATAAACATCAGAAAACACAAACCAGACCAGCATAAAACACACTACACAGAATTTATATACCAAACAAGACCATAAATGAGCATTAAAACACTTTGAAGTATACACTACTGTTCAAAAGTTTGAAAAGTAAATGTTTTCTATTTGAATATATTTTAAAGTGTAGTTTATTCCTGTCAAGGCAAAGCTGAATTTTCAGCAGCCATTACTCCAGTATTCATTGTCACATGATCCTTCAGAAATCATTCTGATAAGCTGCTTTGGTGCTCAGTAATCATAATAATTACAATAATAATAATAGTTTAAATGTTTGATAAATAAAAGGTTCTAAAGAATGGAATTTATTTGAAATAAAAGTCTTTTGAAACTACGTAAAAGTTTTACTTTCACTTTTGATTATTTTTAATGCTTGCTGAATAAAAGCATTAATTTCTTCTTAATGACTTAATTAAGTGCTGGCCGCAAACTTTTGAACAGTAGCTATAAAAGCTATCTTTCCAAAAGTTAATCAGGTTTTGTCATTGTTGTCATTGAGCTGTTGGAAGCTGAAGTGAAGGTTTGACGCACCGGTTCCTTTCCTCCCATCGCATGCATCCAGAATCTGTGGTCATCTTCTGAGAGTGCCTGGACCGTCAGGACTGTGATTGGTCTAGAAAAACAAACAACCACACAACATACAAAATAAAACTCAACTCAAATTTACTTTTTTATTGTAGATTGCTGGTCTTATTGTGCATGATTTGTGTTTGAACATCTACGTAATGGTTTTATCAATATGTATCACCAGTGAAGCGTCTTTCCATTTCCTATTTCTATTATTTTAAGGTTATGCCCTGCATCAGGACAGAGTTGTTTTGTGGGCACATGATTTGAGGTGTATGAGTTAATAAAGTGAATAAGAGAGTCTCCAACAGGAGTAATGCACACATGCATACATATATATAACGTACTTCTAAGGTGCCTATTAAGTGTCTAATCAATTCCAAATAGCTAAAATCACATCCCAGCCTATATTTTCTCATTTTCACTTGGAAATACATTAGATTTTAGAAGTCAAATTCATATTCACATTGAGATTGATTCATCTCCTAATTTGGTAACATTCTGATGTGCTGATGTACCACTGAAAAGATTCCACTAAGCAGCCTCAAGATGAACATGATTAACGTTCATCATAACACTCTGCCCAGGTCAGCTTTGCCTTTGATTAATGAGGGTCCTTAGTGTAGCCTGGATGATCAAAATATTTGGATTTTCCTTACCCTCTGACGTATGAGATTCAGCGCCAATGAATCTAATTTGTCTCGCGCACTCATGTTAAACCCAGTAGTTTCAGAGGGGGTTTACATTTCTAGTGTAGCATCTAAAATGAAATTCTCTAATAACAATCATAAAGGAATAATTAAGTGTGCTTCCTATTTTAAGCAAAAATCCACTTGAAGAATATCAGTTTACAGATGAGTCAGAGTAAGTGACTAAAACATGACTTTTTTAACACTCATGTTGTGTTCCAGTCATTTTGACTGGAGAGGATTTTCACAAAACACTAGTTATCATGCTATCATATTGTACTAAATCTTACTGACTTTGCCCCAAAAATTGATAATTATTGTTCTTGGGGACTATTTCCCCTGTTTTAATTAGCACAGGTTTTGTATTTCTCTTTGGCTGACTGATTGTAGGCCTCATTGATCCGAGCTTATGCATCTCAGACAAAAAGATTAAATCCAAGATTTGGTGATAATATAGCATAATGAGTGATTCACAAGAAATGTTTGAAAGGTCAGCCATTTTTGACTGGGAACACCAAATTAGGAAAAAGATTGTCAGTAATAATCTTGAATTAAATGACCTGATTTCTTATGAATCAGAAATGCATCATTACATTCATTCACAGTTACCATCACAGCTGGGGATGCGTGTCCAACATACCGGTCTGTGATCTCTATGTCTAGGCAGAACCTCCTGTCAAGAGTGTCTGTGGTTTTGCGGATGCAAGACTTGATTGTAACAGACTCTGTCTCACCCTGAATGGATACAGAACATTCTGTGAACAGCAGATCAGCTACACATTTATATTTTATGAACCATGCCATTATCATGACTAATGTGTCAAGTGTGATGATCATTTACAAGCTTCCCGCCTGATCTCTGGTCAAATGTCTTCATGTGCAGAATTTTCTGTTCTTTGACAAGCGTGCAATAGCGTTTCACCCAGCTGGATCCGAAAGGAGGAGGTCCTGTGGAAACAGCAATGGCTATCAGCAATGCAACCAGAGGAGCACAGGACACATGACATGACAGTCAGTAAAAGATAATAGGCACCCCAGTGTTACATCATAAAATGTATCTTGCGTACGTTTCTCCTGTACGTAAAGATAGCCCTCACTACTGATGGGGCTGGTCTGTCTGTATTCCTGTGGCGACTCTTTGATTCTCTTCATTAACTCGTACACCTCAGAGCGTGTGCCCTCAAAACGACTCCGTGTCTGAAAGCAGAGGCACAGACATAAAATAATAACAAAATCAACAATGACGATCTACAGATTCTGTAAGAGCCTGGTAACTGGGAATCCATTGAGATGAGTAACTTCCCAGTGCATTCTAAAAATCCCATCATGCTAATCTAAGACCCATGTTTTCAAGCTATACATCCTCAGAACTCTGACCCTGACCATCACAACTGATTTATAACTGATTAAAAACAAAACACCAGTGGGGATATTGACGTGGTCCAATCAAATAGGACAGGGGAGGGAAGTCGGCTCTCAAACTTCCGACTTAGAAGTTAAACAATGGAAGGTCAATGCAAACAAAGGCCTTTAAGTTTCCCTTGGAAGCCTTGGTCCTCTCAAAAAGCTGCTGTATCCTGTCTCAGTAACTCTCTTTCCATGTCACTCTGCAAGCTAATAGTGTTAACCAGAAGAAGACTGATAAATCTTGGGAGAATCACTGTAAAAATTTATCTATAGCTGTTTAATGTACTTGGCAAACAAGTATTTGATAGTTGTTGGAAATATGCATTGAAAAATGTTGAAACAAAATGGAATATATATTACATAAATCATTTAAAAATAGATCTACAGTTTTGTTTTAAAGTCAAAAACATTATTAAATTTTTACTTACATTTTGAATATTGATTTGAAGGGCTTTTTTATAATGGTCAAAGTCTTTGGCCAACTCGTATCCCTGATGATAGAAAGTAAATACAGTCTGAAAGAACGCCAGCATCTGTACGAGAGAGAGGGGGAAGAAAGGAATTAGAGAAATGAAAAAAATGACAACTAATATTCTCGAGTTTATATAATCAGTCGTAATGTCTAAATCTCTATCCATTATCCAATTCAAAGCAAAAAACAGTTTCACGTAGAAAGTCATACAGGTGTTCGTAAACTGGAAAAGTCAATGTAAATATCAGGTAAATATTTGCTTAAGATTCCATATAAAGGATACTAATTTGCTTATGCAATCTATCAAATTGTGTGTGCACAAAGTGAATGAATTAGTAAGAATACTTGCTCCACTTGTAAATGGCTTGGACACACCTATATTTATGAGGATTTTGTATGTGGTAACTGAACCAAATGTAACCATGCTGCACCTACAGCTCTCACTAAATATTCTACTTCATTTAATAATTTGATATAAGGTAGGCTTACAGCTCAAAAGTTTGGGGTCAATGTTTTATTTATTTATTTATTTTTAAAGAAATTAATACTTTTATTCAGCAAGGACACATTAAACTGATTAAAAGTGACCGTAACGACTTTCACATTTAAAAAGTTTAGGTAACACTTTACTTAAAGCCTTTATGTATAACGCATTATAAATGTATTCATAATGTACATATTTTCATAAATAATTGTAAACAAATTTAAAATGCATTATAATATTTGTAGGGTTGTTTTCCATGTGTTTTAATGCATTATACTTTTTTTAAAGGTGGAACAACAAATATTATAAGTATTATAATGTATGCAGTTACAATTATTCACGAGATCATACAATGCATTATAGGGTGCATTTCAAGGCATAATCGATGCATTTAAAACTACTTTTATAATGCATCATATATAAAGGATATAAGACAAGTAAAGTGTTACCAAAGTTTCTATATCATAGGAAAGTTGTTTATATTCATCAAATAATCCTAAAAAAAAGGTTTCATGGTTTCCACAAAAATACTTAGCATCACATCTGTTTCCAACATTGATAACGATAAGAAATGTTGACCATGTGACACTGAAGACTGGAGTAATGGCTGCTGAAAATTCAGCTTTGCCCTGACGAAAATATTACTGTCATACGAATTTAAATTGTGATAATATTTAACAGTATTTTGGTCAAATAAATGCAACCTTGGTAAGCATAAAATACTTTCACAGACTTAAAAAAAAAAAAATCTTACCAACCCCAAACTTTCAAATGGTACTTTATATATGGTTACGGTTGACAATATTTTTATGATTTAACTTATCTGTATGTACATAGTGTCCAGTTATCATTTTATAAGTAAAGAAATTCTTATTTTTTAAATCAGTTTTGCATAATATTTGCCTACAACATACCAAAGAGATAGTATTATTTAATTCTGAACATAGCCCTTATTTTTGCTATTTTGTTTGGTGCTGCTAGTGGTGCAGAAATTACACACAACAACTTGAATACTTATGAAATAGTGTATATGTATACACAGAAATTTATTTTTGTAACATTTATTCTGGTGAAGCTGCATTGAGAGTGAATTTCAGTAAATGTGTTTCCTTTCTTTTTTTTGTGATAAGTGACAGCATATCAGATGCTGTCGACAGGCAAACAAGACAGCAAACAATGGTGAAATTAATCAAGTTAAATGACAATCTGGACAAAGGGTCATGCACTCACAGGCTCGACACACTCAAACTTCTTCCTCTCTTGTATCTCCTGCAGCTTGCAAACATACTCCAGAGACGACTCCTGAAAGTGCTGCCTCATCGCTTCCACCGACATGTCTGCCTGAAAGACAGACAGCATGAAAAAAGCACTGTAACACTTGAGATGAAAAGGTCCAAGAAAACAGGGAGAGAAATCATCACATAAAAGTTAAAAGTGACTGGGTTGTGAAATGGGTTTTTCAAAAAGCTGTCTGTATTTTTCCTGCGTTTACCTGACCGTGTGTTGCCTGCCTTTACAATATAGAGGGCCTTATTCTGAAAATGGAAGATTTGAAAACCAAGAAACAGCTTGGACAATGCAGCTGTGTAAAGGTTTGTCTGAATGTAAACAGTACTAAACACTAACTACTGTAATATAGTTATTAGCAATGTTCCCTCTAAGCTGCGCTTGCACGGCCGCGCAGAAGAAATAATGTGACGCGCACATGCATAAATGAGTTGGGAAAGCCATTTGCGAAAGCGAAACTGGAAAGAGTTAGAACCGGTGAATGCCAAATGACCCTGCGTTCCATTCGGAAGGGCTCATCCCTATGCCCTAATCCCTTTAAAGGGTTTACACTTCGGAGTGAGAGCTTCGAAGGGTTGAAGGGTGTAGGGGACCAAACAACTGTTTCTTGAAGTGCCCTTCTGCGTCATCATCATGTGCCCACACGGAGGCGCCGTCATCATGCAAAGAATCTGCGCAAAGGATCATGGGAGCCCGAAGTGTCCATCAGTTGTACCCTTCGAAATCCTTCATTCCGAAGGGCCCTTTGAAGTGGCCAGTTTTGAGCACTTCGGTTTGGAACGACCCTTCAATATGGCGGCCATGATTGTTTTCACTCCGAAGTACCCTTTGGAGGGCGATATATCCTGTTTGGAACGCACCGTGAGTCGCTGTAGAAACCGAATATTTGAATGGTTACGGACGACATAGCCAAATCGAGAGCCAATGCAAACGCAATGATGTGAAATAAAACGTCATCATGTATTAAAGAAGAGTGGCTTGATTAAGTGCTGGAAATAGCGGATGATGGACACAGAATGGTAACAAAACTCAGAGACATTTACAGTCACACATAGGTGTATTGTGCAAACTGTACTTCATAGGCAGTGGCGGTTCGTGGGTTTTAAAATAGAGGAGGCACACTAATTGTATTGGTCTGGGATCCCTGCCGATTATTATTATTATAATTTGCTTAACCACTTTAAAATGGCTTTTTGGTTGCTTTTAGTCAGAAAACGTAAAGAAAACGACATACATTCAGCAAGATAATATAATTTCACTTACCTGGCCTATCACTTGAAACAAACATCCATCCCTTCTTAAAAGTCTGTGTTAAAAGAGAGCTGCCTGTTGTGCCATTTAATTAAGCCGACTGCTGTAGCCTATATCCAGCTTAGGCTGTTTTCCCTAAATTTGTATATATACTGTTTGAATGACAGCTTGGTAAATCTGCTTGGTAAAACCTACTCATAAGTACTTGGTACATTATCAGCGCAGCGGCAGACGTTCAAACTAATATCACGTAATTTACGTCTCTGTGATGATTGG